TATACACTGGATGGAACACTACGAAAAGGCGAAGAAAACTGACTCTGCTCACAGAAGCATGCGTGCACGCAGAAGCTCCTGAACAGCCTGGCGTCCGGCGAGTCGTAGCTGAGCGCGAACGGGTCTAGGGCCTCAGACGCACAGGGTCGGCTTTAGAGGAAACCGGGTGGACTAAGGCTTGAAAGTCTGTCAGATGAACAATCCGTGCAGTGCTGCTCACGGGCCCTTGTTTGCGATACGCTCGCAACTGTCAGCGTGAGACGATCCTGTTTGGATCTAGACTGCCAGAGGCTGTCTTGAGACGTGTTGTTGCGTGCCTGTGCAACCTACGGAATGGCTTCGGGGGTCTAGGCCTACATTTTTTTAGCACTGTAAAAAAAGCTGCTTACACGACGCGCAACAACAAAAATGAAGAGGCCTGAGCAAAGGAACGGTCAAGGCCTGACTGCAGCCAAGCCTGCAAATCTAACAAATCTACTTCTCACATGCTCGACTGCTGCCAAGCTTCCAAATCTACAGCTCTCGATGCTCAAGCCAACAGGATATACAAGCCAACAGCAAGGATCTACGGAGGAAGCGACGCCTTGGAAGCTGCCTTCCCCAGCGCGCCCGCTTTTGCGGGGGCCTTCACGCAGGCCTTGCCATTTCCCGCTGCCTCTGCTTTGGCAGGCGCAGCAGCAGGCTTCACAAGGGGCTCTTTCGCTACCGGCGGAGGCCCCTTAGGAGCAACCTTTGGTGGAGTTTTGGGAACAACCTCTTCTGCAGAGGCTTCATGATCGCCATTGCCGGGCGGGTCAGGTGAAGACTCGGGGACCTCCACGGCCGCTGCCTTGGCCGGCACAGCGTTGCCGCCACCAGCCTCGGATCGGACCTCCTCATCGTGCCTTGGTTACAGGTTGCGGGGTCAGGACATGAGACTTGTTTGTCTTCTCTTTCTAACCCCGGTGCCAGACCACACAAATGCAGCAAGGATACTTGCGCGCCCGCTTCAGCTTCAGGAGAGCTGCCACCCACTTTGGTCGGCAAGTCTCTCCTCGCTGGGCCGGGTCTGCAGCATCCACGTACCACTCCCCGGACGCTGGGTCCTGCAGAACCGTCCAGACCACGGTGGTCGGCAGGTCGATGCAATAGCCCTGGTAGATGAGCACGCCTTCTTCGATGCGTGGCTTCTCCACCTCATCGAAATCCGAGAAGTCTTCCTGGCGGAGTGTTGCACGCAAGAAGATTCAAGCGGACCTAAAACCCTTGTCTGTCCATGGCGTATGCTGGCATTCTCTCATACATCAACCCCGGCACCTGAGTCTAAATTCGGGGAGAAAATCAACGCCTCAACCCTCTGTAGAGGGAGTTTACCAAGCCCAGCCCCAAAAAAAAAACACACACACACACACCAAAAAAAAAAACTTGGAAAATCCCTGCGAGGTCTGGGCCCGTTAGTGCTGCCGTATGTGACGAAACATGATAAAAAATCCGGGTAGACACATAGATTTTTTCAAGCCTTGCTCGACACGGCCGTGAAACGGCGGACTGGAACGCCGCCTTCGGTAGAAACTAGAACCCAGTCCTCCCACACGCCTTTTTCATATGACCTCTGCACACATGCGTCTTCAGGTGACAGTCAACCACGTCACTACATCTGCAGGTCGCTGGCCGAATGGTGCCGAGTGCTGCCGAGTGCTGGGGGAGTGGGGGCAGTGCCAAGGGCTGCCGAGCGCTCCCGAGTCCTCCCGAGTGCTCCCGAGTGCTCCCGAGTGCTCCCGAGTGCTCCCGAGCGCTCCCGAGCGCTCCCGAGCGCTCGGGAGCACTCGGGAACACTCGGGAGCACTCGGGAGCACTCGGGAGCACTCGGGAGCGCTCGGCAGCCCTTGGCACTGCCCCCACTCCCCAACACTCGGCAGCACTCGGCACCGGCCACAGCAGAGCTGCCGCAGGGCAGCTGCCCGGCTGGGCCGCGCATTGCGCGCTACAGGTCTGCCTCTCGGGCAATGTCAACATGTGCACCGTGCAGACGTTGCGTAGAAAGCCCGTTCAAAATTACAAGCCTGCTAAGCCTGCTGCAAGTGTCTCGCAACTGCGCAATACACGCGCACACACGTTCACTCACGCGCAGCGGAAAGAGTTCGATCCGAGTGGGGGAAGACATTCGCTTTGTGAGCAGCACGGCTAATATTGCGCTCAACCTCAACAACAACAACAACAACAACAACAACGACCACCACGACGACGACGACGACGGCGGCGGCGGCGGCGGCGGCGGTGGCGGCGGCGGCGGCGGCGACAACCAATGGCGCACGCATAGGCAATCGCAGTCGACGACCCCGTGACCTGCAAGCAGGACAAGGCGATAGGGAGCCTTCTCACAGACAATTGCCGAATGTTTCTGTTCTCGCCAGCTCGCGCTCTCTCTCTCTCACTTGTTTTTTTTGGCTCTCTCTCTCTCTCTCTCTCTATATATATATACACACTTAATATATAAATATAGGACAAATATCCCAGGCCCAGACCTCCCCATAAAAAAAATAGGAACGCCGATTGCTTCATCGGTCATTGTGGGCTATAGTGTTTCGGGACTCCTGCGCAGGGTCTGGGCACCACAGGCGCACGCCCAAATGGCAATGATGGCTGTCACTGGGGATCTTAAACCCTAAGCTCTACACCCTAAACCTCACATATGAAAGCTTCAAACCTGAGCCCCAACACCTATGGATCCTAAGTGCGCAGATCTCGAACACGTGCTGTTTGGGGTCTAAAGTTTAGAGTCTAAAGTCTAGGGATCAGGGTCAAGTCAAGGTTTTTTAGGGCTTAGGGCTTAGGGATTAGGGTTTAGGGATTAGGGTGTAGGGATTAGGGGTGCAGGGAGTAGGGCTTCGGAGTCCTTATTAGGAGTCCTTGCTTGGGCACCTGTGTGTTGCCAAAAACCCGGTGTCGAAGCTATGGGGCAGAGGCTTTCAGGACTGTTAAGCTCTAGGATTGGACCATCAAAGTGGGTTAGGGGGTACGAACTCCTTGAACTAAGAATTGAATGTCCAGGGTTGGCGCTGCATTGCAAAAGTCCCAAAATTCACACAGGAAAAGTGTAGGTTCACATGCGCATCTAGTCGGGATGTGAACTTTAGACTTGTTCCTAGGCTAGAGGCCAGTGCTCCAGCTGGCTTTCAGCTTTCAAGTTTTCTCAAGAATTGGGGCTCCTTGTTGGCTTCTAATTATTACTCATTAATTACGGGTAGCTTAGTTAGTCGCCATCCAACAGCAACTGCTTGCAGTTAATGTGTTCGGGTCTTTGGCGCAGGCAACTAACTGGATTGCGCCCCGCCTCATCCTCGGGCAAGCGAGGAGCCACTCCTGGAGGCGCGAAGGCCGGTCCCTCCGTAGCTGCGTTCTCCGCCTGGGTCTGCACGTACTGGTTGCATGGAATGGGTTCGGCGTCCACACCATGAAGGTGGAGCGTACCATTCAACATAATCAACGCGTAGAAGCCTTGCTGTGCCTCAGGAAGCGAGAGATCTGCTATGGTTTCGCCCGACTCATTCCAAGCAAGTAGATGCCACCCATCTTCCTGAGGCTCCACGGTGTACATGCAAGTGTCCCACCACTCAGCCGCTTCTTCTGCAGGAGGAGTAGCGCTCTCAAGCGTAAGCGGGGATGGGGTGCCACTTCCGGCAGCTGCGGCGAAGTGACCGCTCACCAACTGCAGTACCTCATGAGGGCTGATCACCTGGGCATGGAGCGGCCGCCCCAAACCCTCATATTCGTTGCTGATCGACTCCAACAGTTCTTCTTTGTTGAACCTGGGCCAAGCAATTCTAGCAGGCACGAACATGTAGCCAACAACTGACACCCTGGCAATTACCAAGCCTCAGCTATCATAACTATCAGAGCCCACGTGCCCCTGCGTTTTTACAAACCTGTACTTGTCTTTAAAGCAAAAAAATAGCATGTCACCGTTTAGTGCCCTTTGGTGTACAGTACCCAAGGACAAAAACGCTACCTATGAAGCACCTTTTTTCCTGGGAGCTAATTCGGGGTTGCCTTTGTATGTTGCACCTAAAGCCCTCATGCAATGACACTTCAAGGCCAGCAACGAAGGCAGTCGATCTGATGGCATCAGACCGGTGCATACATATAAGTATGCGAGTAGCTGTTCTCGGGTCATTCTGTTCAGAGCGACCCTCGTGAGGTTGGCAGGCGCCAGATGGTACAGCCAGTCCATAACGTGATTGTTCTTGGCGCATGCAACAGAAATCAAACAGCTGAACATGGCACAACCATTTATCGCCTGGCTTATTTTAAAGTGAAACTGTAACAATTCTCTGCCCGGGCACGGGGACAAGTGCGATACATGAGTAAGAGGACGAATACCTTTCGACGTTGTGGCGGCGCGCGCCAGCTTTGCTTGGTTGACGTTTGCTCCCTGCCCCAGGCGCAGCTTTGCCGCCCTTCGGCCCCGCCGCATCGTCTCCGGCGATGTACCCGCCAGGCCACACAAGCCTGGATGAAGTTTGGATAAGGTTGGTTAAAAAAAAAAGAAAACAAAACACAGTTGCTGTTGCGTGAAATTCGGTGTCCGAGACACGGGTTCTCCCCTCTGCTGGCAGGAACAAGCGCCAGTGCGCTAGTGGAAGCGGCCACAGGCGGGGGTGCTTTCAGAACTGTTGCTGCAGTCTTTGGCAAGGTCAGCTTAGGCGGGGGTGTGTTCAGCTTGGCTAGCGGAGGAGGCCTCACAGTGACAGCAGCTTTTGAAACTGGTGCCGGTGGTGTACTGTGCTTTGCAAGCACGGCAAGGTGCTTTGCAACCAGTAGCTTTGGGCGAGCGGGCGGCCTGCTCATGGTCGCTTCCAGGAGCGGGATGCAAGGGCTTGAGAGAAAGGCTCTAGCGGTTTTTCCACTGGCTAAACACACAAGCCGCACTGAGCACGCACAGAAGCAGCAGTACATTAGGCCTTCATAAGTTTGACCCTCATTTTTTCGGGCACTGCCATGCGTTGCTGGTGTCTTGAAGTCTACTGCGCGCGAACAGAGAAGCAGCTGAGTGCTATGAGAAGTATCACTGACATATTGCCAACGTGCATGGAATTTCCAGCCAAAAAATGGCTGCGTTGTGGGTCCAATGAGGGCAGCTCTGCGCAGCCCATTTCACGGGCTACCTCGGGTGTGATAGGCCACCCCATCGAACACAGCTTCTCCTGTCCTGTCAGGAGTTGCATGCTGGCACGGTGCAGGTATTTCCCGCAGGAGTGCCGGTAGCAGGGGATGCGGCCACTGTCAGCACTCCACGTGCGGGACCATTCAAACCGGTCTCCTAAGTAATACACTAGCTCTCCATCCTCCTGAGCTGCGCGCCCATATTTCTGGAAGTAAGCAATGTCCAGCTGCTGCACGAGGAACTGCTCACGACCATTGAGGGCGTCTGCAACCTCTAGTGCCTCAGATGTGTCATCAGAGGGGCTTGGCAGGAATAGGGTTTGAAGCGTTCATGCGGCGCTTCATTCGCGGGCATGTGTGTTGGTGATGTCGTTGGGGACAACAACACTTAACTTTTGAAATTGAGGTTGAATGCCTGGAATCTCCAATTGGAGCTGGTTGCGAAGTAGGTGAAGTGGATCGCATAATATTCCCTCGGTCTTAAGCCCTAAACCTTATTAAGCCCTAGACCCCAAATCAGAAATCACTGAACGATAGAACCCAACATCTCAGATCCCCGCAGCCCCAGAAACCACTACCTAACACTCCACAAACTCTAGCCTTCTTCCAGGAAGATTTACAGTCTGAATACTGAAGCCTGAAACCCGTGGCCCAGATGCCGTGCCTACAACCCTGATGATTCATATCCAGGCGCTTCCTTCGGCCCCCTTGGTCGTGGCGCCAAAGCGTCGCAGACGAGCGCAGCGAGTGACCAAGTCCAGCTGCCTGGCAGCATCCGAAGATACCAGATAATCCGATGGGCGCGTGTGTGCGCGCGATGTGATCACCTTCTTAATCTCCCTGTAGAGGTCAAAGACATCGTGCGTGTAGTCGACTTTGCCCATGTGGTACAAGATGACATAAGTACGGTGCCTGCTGACCGCAGAGTGTCCGACGTCAGCAGGGTCTGCGAACAGTTGCAGGCACCCATAATGTGGTCCAAGGCCAGCATGGATAACATTGATCTTGATGTCCTTAGCCGAGGATTGGTGCTCAGGGTTTGGGCCTAAAGGTTAAGGTTTAGGGTTGATTGAGTGTTTAACTAGTGACCAGCAGCTAAATCACATGGTCAAGTGGAGCGGGAATGATAATGCTAACCCTTTGCCATAAGAATCACGGGCAACGTCATGAAAGTGCCGGCAGGGTTCGGGTGTGTTTTCCAGGAAGAGGAGTGGAGTCTCTTGCTCCCGGTGATAGCGAGACCATGCCAGGTAGCAATTGCCAAACTTGCCAAGATGGAACATCCTCTTTGGATTGCATCTGCTGTTATCCTGACATGGCAGTCCACTAACATCCAGGTCCGGAACAGGGGACCTGATAGAGCACAGACCTCCGTGCGTGTGGCAGACTTGCTGTCCCTGAAGGGGCATTTGATCATACCATCTCTTTCGGCCTTCCCAGGACAAGTCTGCTGGCGGCTGCCGTGGAATGACATCAAGCATGTTGTCAAAGACGCATGGCTTGGGTTGATATCGTCCAGTCCATGAGTTCAGCCATCGCCAGTGCTCATCAATGCATTGACGAGCGTGGGGGTCCAATTCCTGACAGGATGTTGTGAACCCACACAGCTAGGCAAAATTGCTTGTGAATCTAGGACCAATGCAGGCATGAGTCGTGGCACCGTCTGCTGCGGATGTTAACCATGAAGTCTACCATCTCAGACCCATTTACGGTCGCTGCCACCAAAGCCACCGCAACCTCTGCGGTGAACACACCGGTGCAAAACGAAGACATATTGCGCGCCGTTCGCAGCATAGAAGCCTGACAGATTAACCGCCAGGAAGTCTACACAAGCATGGGCAAGGACAAATATTCAAAGAACCCTAAGCAGCCTCCAAAACCTCTTTGGGAATCTTGCGCAGGCACACCCGCCAGGCCATGCGAAGAGCACGGCTCGCCACAACGAGGCGGGTGTCATTCAGATCGTCCGCCTGACGGCAGTAGCTATTTCCTTGTCTTACATGCTAGCAAAGGGGGCAAGCAGCTAGCCTCAAAAGGACTCCACGACAATGCCGAACTAGAACTAGCTGTAGTTTGTGTCGGCACAGGTTGGTCATCCTCCGTGAAACGCGTGAAGTAGTTCAAGTCTGACATTGACATTGCAACGCCCCAGCCTACTTCAAGGCTTAGACGTCTTGAGCACAAGTCTGCGATGTAGGCGTTTCAAATGATCAGCATTGCAAGGGTCAACCCAAACAAAAATGTTGCATGGCAGCTGCAACCCTAGAAGAGGCAGGCGCACCCACATGCAGTGCAGGGGCCCTGGCTAGTGGTGGTCCGTAGACGGCTGCGTTCGTGTCAGGAGACATTACCATGAAGATCTCACTGGGCTCGCCCCCCACATCGCTGCCATCGAAGAGGACCTGGGCATGAAGCTGGGCAGCACAGGTTACACATCAAGTTGCGGGTGTCCCCATGAGGTTTGAGTAACACACCTGGCCTTCAGGTGCTTAACTCCGCACATCTCCGCCCTTGCGCGAGCTAGGGCGTTGACCTTAGACACCCAGCGCCAGTGCTACTATGTGTCCGGCGCATGAGACTGAAACTTTCGAAAGTAAGCCCCCAGCACACACCCTGTAGCAAGCACTTGTCACCCCAATAGATTGGCCACCGGCTCTGTCCAGGGCCTCTCGCATAAAGCGTTCCTGAGTGTTTGTGACCAGACTGTGACCGTGACCTATCCAAGGCAAACATACCATTGGCACATGATGCTGGCAAGCATCTTCACCATCAAAGATGAAAGTCATCGCGGCTGCAACCAAGTTCCACTTGGATGCTTTGTTCATTCTTTGGTTCTTCTTGCGTCGGGTTGAAAAGGGATGGTCATGCAAGGGCTTAGAGATGGCACGCATGTGCCGGTCGATGTGACTGTCAAGTTGCTGCAGCAACACCAGCGCTGATCTCTCAAGGCACTGTTTTGCCCATTTCAGGTTTGCATTCACTTTGCGGTTCAGGTACTTTGGAAAATCCAAAGAAAATCCTATGAAGTCGGCTACATGCACACGGGTATGAGGCGATGTTACCCAGGGTGCTTCAGCTGACTGCAAATCTGTTGCCCAAGCCATTGCCAGGAAGTAATCGAAAAACTCTTGGCGCCAGGGTTGACAAAATCCTCCCGCCTCAAGCACCTGTGGTTCAAAGTAGCCGTTGCCCTCCGAGTCCCAAACCAGGAACTGTAGTTCACACCCTGCAGCAGCAAGCTGGCATAGCAAGGATTTCAACACTTCATAGGCTCGAAATCGAATGCCTGGGGAGCGCTTCGAGTAGGACAGATTGAACGCTGTAAAGCTTAGCAACAGCCTGGTGCTCACGGAGCTTGCCACCAGTGTAATTTCATTAGAATCCTGATCTTTCCGCACAGTCTTCATCAGGATATGTTCTGGTTCATCCCCTGGCCAAATTCGACGATGGTAATCCCTAGCTGCTTGCTCGTGTTGTTTCATCTTGCCCTTGTTTTTCTTCTTGTTATCGCCTTCCAAAAGATTGTTCGCTAGCGTGTCCAGTAGCCAACGTGTCGGCCGGTCAGCTCCGTCTGACATAAAAAGGTGAAGCTTCCTCCTCTCTGGATCCACATCGTTTGTCGCTATCGCGACACAACCTGAGCTGGCAGCATTGTGCACGTAGCAGACATGAGGCCACTATGATGAGATGACTTGCTTTGCCTGAGACATTCACGCAAAGCCTCCATTCAATCTGGAAGTGTCACAGCGGCCATGTGATCCTGACTTGGCCACGAGTGTGTTTACAGAATAGAAGCAAAGGAGGGCATCGACAAGAAAACAATGCATGCAGCCAAGCTTCTGCAGATTCATCACTTGAATTGGCAACACTACAAGCTGCCCCCTTGAGAGCATGGGCCAGGATATCGGATTTTCGCTCCTGAATCTGCCTTGCAAAACCTGCATGCCCTCACTAAGGCTTACTAAGGCTTACTAAGCCTTACTAAGGCTTACTAAGGCCTACGAAGGCTTACTAAGGCTTACTAAGCTTTGGGAAGTTCTGCCCTTGAAATGGGAGTTATTTGGGGGTACCCCTTTGGGGGGAGCCCTTTAGCATCCTCCCATGGAGGGCGGTGCGCCTGCCGAGGACAGGGTCGAGGCCCCAAAGACCGG